GGTTTAATGTGGAAGACCTTTTTTATTTCCCTGTTAACTCCTCCCAGTTTGTGATGGTTGTAGGTGAGCTGGAACAAACGACTGCATGTTTTCACTTGTTTCTCTTGATCCTCTTCATGTAGTGAGCAGTCATCCTTCACCACTCTCGCAAGCCATTGACGTCAGTACACATCTCTTTTTTCTTCTAAGATCCTGTGTTTCCCAGCTGTGACTGAGAATTGGTGACTAATAAAGATTAAGAGATAGTTCAGCTTTTCTGCCTCAGTCATTGCTCTCTAGGAATTGCTGTACTGTAGGGCCCAGAAGAAGACCCACTTGTTTTCTGATGTTGATAATGAGTTTCAGGCATTAGAGACCTATATTGAATTCAAACCACCGATGTAGAGGTGAAAGCTCTACTACTGCCAATCTGTTCAGCAATCCAGGTTCAACTTGGGTTTAAAATGAAGCTTTTCAGTAAAAAAACAAATGAACCAGCTGTTCCTTGGGCAAGTGTGTTACATACAGACACTTAAATGCCTTAAATTAGCTAGTCTCACTGCAGTGCTAGATTTTGTTTTGTGTCATCTTAATTTCTCTTCCTGCAGCAAGTCTGTCTGAGGGAATGGAAGAAGAGATGGAATCTGCTCAGTTCTTAGGGTTTGCGTGTTTCTGAGTAATCCTCCTCAAAACTGTCCAAAATCTTAAAGAAACAGAAGGCAGAAACAATAAATTTGCTGCTTTTTCTAAAGAGAGAGTGGTATGCAGCTTTAAAGAAATTTCAAGATGTCATTAGAATGCATTAAAACTCTTTACATTTTTAGATGAGTGTGGTCATACATGCCTGGTTGCAGTAACTTTTGCAAGTTTACCTTCATGTCATTTAAATTGCTAGTCCAAACTCTGAACTGCTTAGCAGCAGAAGCAGTATCTCAACCAGTCGGTTTTTTAGTGTTTGCCTTTACCAATCCAGAGAAAGATCACCATCCTCATCATCTAAGTAAAACAGACTTTTTATGGCCTGCAAGGCAATTCGTTTCAAAATGTTCCAATTCCAAATGCTTCATGATCACATCTGCTTATTTTTCTGCCTGAAACTCTCAAGCTCTTTTCTACCTGGATAACAACCAACGAGAAGCTCTGCCTTGCAGCTCTTTCCATAATTCCTCAGTCTCCAAGATGATACTACTTTTGAAATATTAAAATAATCCCATCTGCTGTGATTCTACCATTGTATCTTCTGTTTGACTTGTTTTAAGCCTATAAAGTTAACTGCATAACTGCGTTGCAGTCGCTTGTACCGAATGACTCAAGTTTGGTTGAAAGTGTAAGTCTTTAACTGGGAAATGTTCAGGATAATGTGAATTATCCTGAAAATGGTTAGTGAGATCCTCGAAGCACCTTGCCTGTCACCTTAATTCTGAATGCTAGAAGGTTGGAGAGGATTAGGGTTTGGGGTTGGTGGGTTGGTTGGTTGTGTCATTGGCTCTCCTTAAAGGCAGTTCTTATGATGCTACCAGGATGTTCCTTATCCAAGTTTATTAAAGTCATGTTAACATCTAGAGGAGTATTTAAATATACAGAGAATATATTGAACTATTGATAAGCTTAATTTGTCTCTCCTCAGTATAATTGTCAGCTCTTTTTATAACATCTTGATTTTTCACGTCCAGTACAGAATCCTCCACCTAGACCTGCATGCCAGCCACCCATCCTCTGCTGCTTTGTTCTTGAAATCTGCCCCTTTTACGTGGTTTCTTTCTAGCCTGCCTGAGCTGCCAAACCTCTGTTTGCATTGCTTTTTCCTCCTCTGGTTTAAGGGAGGCTGCATCTTTCCTATGCTGTAACTGGCTGGTGAGGACCCTGGTTGCCTAAGTAACGGGAAACCTAAAAAAAAAAATAATAATCTTTCTCTTTTTCTGTTTTCTCATAAAAGCTTGACATTCTTTTAGTGCCCTTCCTGTTAAATAACTTGTGTGACCCAAGCTGATGTATCTCACAGGAAGGATCAGAAACATGGTTTTCAATTATAGAAGCAAAATTACAAAGGGTTTTGTAGTTCGGATGTTTAATTTCCTGCGTGCTTTGTGCTCTGTAAAGGATGCTGCAGTGAATGCCTTGGTGAAGAGCTGCCATCTGGCTGGTGAGATAGGCCTTGCTGTGGTGACTATGGGTAATTCAGCCACTTTCCTCTCTTCCTTTCTGATAACTTGTGTTTGCCTCATCACTTAAAATAGCTCCATGCTCACCATGCCTTCTGGTGAACGCATACAGCCATCATTTTGCTTTTGAACTAGAACCGACATGATACAACCCTTCACATTCTGCTCTTAGGTTTATTGTGGTTTACAACATCTTGAAGGTTGTAGCAGAGCCTGACCCTCTCCAGAGATCACTTAACTGAAGCCTCAGAAAGCCCAGTGGGAATTAAGCTGGCTGAAGAGGACTACGCTGTCTGTGCACAGCTCCATATCTCTCAGGAGGCGAAGCTCAACATCTCGCCTCCTCCTTGGGGCTCCAGCTTGGCCTTCAACAGGGGCAGGGTGCCGGTAAGGAAATGGTGCATTGTAAAGTCTCTTCTGCTCACAAATAGTAGTCTCCTATGCTTTGATCAGTATATCCAGTCCTGAAAGCCATTGAATGGTAGGCAAAAGGACTTGAGAGTCTTCAGAGTGTTTTTACCAGTATGAGTGGAAGAATAGGATTACTGGTGAGGCTTACGGTAACATGTTGTTACGTTAACAGTTTGTTATAAGCTGTTCCTCAGCCTGGGCTGGGACTGTGCTGTTCTTACTGGCAAATGGTTCTTCTTTTTGTTTTTTTAAGACAGACCTCCAAGTTAGCTGCTGTTTCAGAGGATTTTTTTAATATTGCTTATCTGATTATGATTAAGCAATCCAGTGTTTATAGCATATGCTTTGACCTTGATGTTAGTTCAGCTGGGCAAGGATGTAAATGATGAAGAAATTCCTTAGCAAACTTACCCCACAGTATCTAAAATTAACTCTTTGATAACCCTATTCTAAAGTAGGAGCATTCTTTTAAGATAGTGGCTTTTGAAGAAAGATACATGTTCAGTTGGTTTGGCTAAATGTAAAGGCTGTTGAAGTTTGGATGTTTCTTTATCAGCAGACAGCATCTATTTGTTTCTATGAATGTGATCCAGAATTTAGTACTGTGACATTTACTAAATAGATCAGGCGTACAGAATGAAACTAACATTGTAAGGTAAAACTGAAGTATGGGAACTCCGGGCTTTAGTCTGTATAACACAAAGCACCATGGAAGGTATAGATAGATCCAATACGGTTTTGATAAAAGCTGATTTGCTCTAAAATTCATAAATGAAACAGGACTGCAGTGAGTGGTATAACTGTTTTTTTTTCCTGGATTTCTTGTTTTCTCACTAAATCTCAGGGCTCAGCTGCCTTGGTGCTACCTCTGCAAACAGAAAAGCTCCAAAAGCAGCTGCACCGAGAACATTGATCTTCTAGCCAGAGATTTCCTCTGTGTGTTTTCATCCACACAGATTATCCTTAAAAAGGGGGTGCTTCTGTCTAAAGGAAAGATGCAGCACAAGATGCTGCTGTCACAGTGGGCAGAGTGACAACAGTACTCCCTGAGTTAGAATTTTATATTGCAGTAATTGTGCTGATCAAACAGGCAAGTTTAAGACGGCTCCCTGACAGCATGAAAAACCTCCAACTCAAAGAACCGCCCTTAGTTTTTAACAAGGAGCAGTTGTGTGCAGAACTGCCGAGTCAAAAGAGTTTTTTACTTATTCTGTAGCTGAAGGACTTGGCTCCTCTTCAAACATTTCTGCCTGCAAAAGGATGGGTGATCTTGCAAGGGAATGTGCCCCCTCTAGGGGCAAAAATGTGGAAGCTTGTGCTAGCAGGTAAATTCAAAACAGGGGAAAAGCGTTTGCTTGAAGGGTTGAATATCTGGAGGGGGTTAACCACAGTGAGAAGAGATTTCTGCTGTGATTTAGGATGCATCTTTCACAGCATCTCAATTTCCTGTCTTCCTGCAAGAGGTGAGCTGTGCTGTCTGCAGCAGGGCTCTGCTTTCAGCCTTCTGTAACTCTTAAAACATGAAAAATATGCTGCTGTTTTTGCAGGGCATATCTATCTGTCTGGGTTAAAATATCTTTATAAAGTGTGCCTCATACTGGGAAAAAGTCATCTTGCATTTGTTACTTCAGTAAGTGCTATAATTCTTGAGCTGTTCGTGTATGTTGTACTCTTTCAGTAAGAAGGAATGCTGTGTGAAGGCAGCACACAGCTGGCCAGTTGTTTCTAACATGAACACCCAGATTATCCCAAGGAAGTTCTTAGGAGTCTGCAGAAATACAAATCACTTTTGAAACTTCAGGGCTTTGAATATGGGAGTTACAGATGGTGTGCAACTATAAAGTACAGCTGGGTGTTGTTGCTGTGGTGGTAACACCGTGCTCCAAACTGAGCCACAGAGTTGTCTGACTTGGGTGGTCATGTTTGCTCTGGCAGTGCTCACTAAAACATGGGTCCTATATGAAACCGTTTCAGCAAGTTTTGAATGCTTGCGAAGTTACAAAACCTTTCATTCACAGTGGTCTCTTGCCTTTGGTATTTGCCATTTTGGCTATTCAGAGCTTGGGTTTGGGATCATGTAATTCATCCAAGTAGCATTTTATGGGTACATGTGTGCCTTGAACCTTGGGCTGTGCTCCCAGAGAAATATTCCTCTTTTAAAGGTCACATGGGGAGAACATCATCTTCTCTCATCTCTTCCTGCTGCTTTTGAAGTTTATCCTGGTTTATCGGGGAAGTGCTTTTAACTCAACCCCAAGTTTCCATAAGGAAACGAGGTGAAGCAATTTTTAATGAAAAGATTTTTGTATCAGTCCTTTAAAGCCTGAATTCAGACCTCTTCACTTGGGTGGTTTAGCCGTAGGGCAGATGCTTCCAAGCATGACCACTCCAGTGTTAAATGTGAAATGCATTCATACTCATTGTTTTCCCCCCTCTTATCTCCTAAAGGTGCTCTTACAGAGTGTTACGATGAACTGGGCAACCGGTACCAGCTTCCCGTCTACTGCCTCGCCCCACCTATCAACATGATAGAGGAGAAGGGTGATCTGGAGACTCTGGATATTCCTGATCCCCCACCCAATTCAGGACACGAATGCCAGCTCCGTTTGCGCCTGTCCACAGGCAAAGACCTCAAACTCATGGTCCGCAGCATGGACACGGTGTACCACATGAAGAGGCGGCTGCATGCAGTGGAGGGAGTGGAGCCCGGAAGCCAGCGCTGGTTCTTCTCAGGCAGGCCACTGGCAGACAAAATGAAACTGGAGGAGCTGAAAATCCCAAAGGACTACGTGGTGCAAGTCATCGTGAGCCAGCCCTTAGCAAATCCCACCCCGGTGGAAAACTGATTTCTGTTTCTTGTTTATTGATTCTTCTAGCCTCCATCTCTGTCATGGGGTTTGTTTTCACTGCCCCCTCTTCTTTTGGTTTGTCCTGCTAATGGCTTAGTTCCAAGAAATGACCAGCAAAAATTCCATCTGTGATGGAGAGCTGCAAAAACAAAACATGAAAATGTAAACTGGCCTTCAGGGTTTGCCTGATTTCATATTTAACACAACAGCAAGCAGCACAGGGCAAGGGCAAAGGAAAGAGCGGGAAGGGAAGAGAGAGGAGGTACAAAGAGGGAGAGAGGAGATTGTTGTTCACTTAAACAATACAAATACGTAGCGATTCTTCAAACTGTAGGTGGTGTCCTGATCCATGGAACCAGAGCAACAGAGAGCACTTCTATTTAAAAATCAAAACAAAACCTTCATCAGTTGATAACATTTTGTATCAGCACCACGTACAGTTCATGCAAGAATCTCAGCTGCTCTGGGTAGGTCCTGTGCTGCCTGTTATCAGGGATCCTTTCTGGTTTGACCTAGCTCCTGGGCTTTACCCAGGCTCTGCCAAGGCACAGCCAGCCCTGGGCAGTGGAGCTGGCCTGGGGGCTCAAGTTCCTGGTGATGCTCAGACCAAGCAATTGTACATTCCAAGGTGGCAACGCAGTCCTGTGCCATTGCGGGCTCCTGAGCTGGGAAGACAGCCCACCGGAGCCTTAGGCAATAACTTAGTCAATGTATACTCTCTTGTACTGTACTGTACTGTAAGCTTACTTGCTACCAGACTGACTTAGCCTGAAGCTTACAGGCTCACGGGCACCTGAGCATGTGCCTGTTGAATTCCTGTATATCACTTGGATCATTAAAACAAGCTGTGAACAGGCTAGCTGAGGGGAATGATGTGCTGGTCTGTGCTTAAGTGTTAGGTGCATCACCTTTGTCAAATGGCATTGTGGTAGGTTCAGGTTAAAGTGCAGTTACACCCAGATGCAATGGATTGCAGCTTCCCCTGCTCAGTTCCTAGAGGTCACAAAGCCTAGAAGATGGTGAGGAGGACATGACAGCAGGTGTTTTTCAGCTTTTTGTGTGAATGTCTTTTGCAGCAGCAGTCTTCTAGCCTTGGGGACTCTAACCAGGACCACTGGAGGTATCCTCACCAGCATGCACCCACAGCCCTGAGCATAACAGTGGGGTTTCACAGCCAGTGCTTTCCCTTCAGAATGTAACAGGAGCTCTCTCAGTAAATCACAAATTCTTTTGTACTCTCAAAAATCTGAATCAGAGCATATTTGGGGGTGAGAGATCCAACTGCTTATTCCTTCCAAGATGCTCTCTGTGTTCCTTTGGCTGCTCTGCACCCCTGTCTGGTAATGCCTTTGGTTGAGATCAAGCCTTTTGAACACAATTTCTAGTTTTCTTGGGTTTTGGGTTTTTTTTCAACCAGATTTGAAATAACTTCTTCCAAAGTCAAATATGCTATTCAGGTGCGAATAGCTTGTTTTTGTGGGTTTCTGTCTTCCCTCTCTGAATCAATGGTCTGAAGCTACAGTTGTCCCAGCTCTTTCTCATCTACTAGAGAAACTGGTGGGTTGCAGGGACAATTTTAAACTAGTTACTTTTGCTTCTTCATTAATTCCCTACAACTCAGTTTCTGGGACTCAAAGGGAGTTCTTGCTCCATGAGCATCAGGAGAGAGCCAAAATTGATCAGTGGTCAGTTGTACAATATCATGAGGCTTTCCTAGCAGTTGGAAGCAGGCACAGAATTTACATTGATGGTTGGAAAACAGATCCACATGTGATACTCATCTCCAACCCTACTCCAAATAAATAGAGCTTTCTTGTTGCTCCCTGTGTTGTACTAAGCCTATGGTTTTCTGACAGCTCCTTTAGACCCACTTTGGTACAGGTTAACTGAAGTGCAGTGGCAGAGCTGTATAAAAGAAAATTAGTTCCCTGTTCTTGTAAACAACAAAGTGACTTGGTTTTCTTCTTTTCTTCTAAAAGATTAACTCAAAGCTGATAAATGCTAATCTGTAACAAAAGGTTTTTATTGTAGAAGGTTTCTTTTAAGACAAATCTGATTTCCTATACTGTATTTTTGCCACCAAGATCTTTTGCATTCCACAAGGGAAAAAAGTACTTGGTCTATAAATAGCTCAAAGCTCTCTTGGATTTTTGCTGGCAAAGGATGGTTTCATGCCAGAAAGACACTGCTTGTCCATGAGGCATAAATTACATCTCTGTGTTAATGGTCTTTATGATGTCCTTTCCCTGGAAGCCCTTATGGAAGGGGGAGATTGTGATAAAGGAGGAGCAAACCAGGGTAACAGCTCTGTAACTGTGAACACTACAGTGCATACAACTATTTTCCTTTTTTCTTTCTTTTCTTAAGGATACAATTTGATGATTATTTTTCTCTTTTTCTATTTTCATTCAGATAATTGCACTGGCTTTGAGATTACAGTGTGTAGGGTCAGGGAGAGCTCCTCCTTTCCCTCTCCCCACTCTGAGTTGGAAAAGGTTCAGTTTTATTATGCCATTACAGATGACTATGTTTTATATTAATTGCTTTTATGTTGGGCAGCAAGGTGAGCTGAAGGCCAAATTGTGAGTGGGCTTTGAGTAGAAAGAGAATTGGTTCATTAAAATACTCTTTTCTCTAACAGCCCCTCCTTTCCCCCTCCTGTCCCTTAAGCACATATGTATAACTGGAAAAATTCAGTGATAAAATACTTTCATAATTGAAAGACCTTTCATCCTCTTCTGTACAAAATGACAGGTGAGCACGGACCCTGCTGGAGACAGGAAACAAATTTTACAGGATTTGGTTTAGGAAAGATTTCTTAAGTTTCAAAACAGGTAACTTAATACTGGTAATGAAGGCATACAGGCATACAGCATGTTGAGTAACATATCCCATGTGTGTAACTAGAGGTTGCAATTTCCCTTGAGAGAAGAGTGATTTCCATTTCTGAAATGAATTGTCTTTGTCCTGCAAGATGGTCTTGGCTATAAACACCACTGCAGGGGATTGGGCTGGGGCTCCCGTGGGACTCAAGTGGGTTCCTGGGGCACAGTGGGGCTCCCCACATGCCCTAGAGAAGGGAGGGAAGGAGGAAGAGGAGACTCATTTAATGGACCAGTGGAGTAGGCTTGGCTGGAGTGAGACTGACCAAGTGTTAAACTGCTGCTGAGCTGACAGCCCTGGTGAGGATTGGTGCCAGTCTGCATGGTGGGTGCTGCTCACAGCAAGGATGGGTAGAAGCATTCTGGTGTGGCCATCTTTCTTTTGCAGGGAGAGTGTGTTGAGCTTGGGCTCAGTGCTGCTGGCAGCATGGCCAGGGCTGCCTCTCGGCCTGCCAGTTGGTGTGCTGCCAGCACCATGGGGTGTCTTGGGCATAGCTGAAGCAACACAACAGGTTTTTTAACACACAGCCATGAACTGCAATGCCAAGCACAGACAAGTGAGGAGTAATAGGACTTTTTATTAGGCCCATCAGCCCTTTGTGTCATTCCTGATTAGCTCTGGCTATGAACTGTTGCCAGTAGATAACTTTTTTTACCATGTTAGTGACAGTAATCACGTCTGTTTGACGTGATTCAGATTTTTATACTCCTTATTGCTGCATCTGCCTGACCCAGAAGTAATAACACAGTGAAAGTCCCCACTCCTCAACAGCTTGAAGGGCAGAGAGACACAAAAACATGTAGTCTCCTGGGGTGACAGAGCTCCAAGAAAGCCCCAGATGCTGTAGATCCATTGCTTGGTGCACTGCAGAAGGATGTTCACACTCATCTTCCACAATGAAGTGACAGCTGCTCCTTCAGAGCATCCAGCTCCCAAAAGTTTCACCTTGGCTCTTTGTGCCCCTCAATTTATTGGTGCAGAAAACACAGCTTGAAATAGCTGTGCAGCAAGAACTGGTTTAGTTTTCTGAAAGCCTTTTCTTCTCTGCATCTGGAAAGTGTTTCTGAAAACTAAATGATGTGAGTCACCAGTGTAGTAAGTTGAGTTTTCGAATAGACACCCCAATGCTAAAAGTAGTAACAACAGCCACAACAAACATTTCCCCAGGAGGAGCCAAACAAAACCCAGCTCCTCTTTGCCTTCCACATAAAGTTCCTAAGTGGCTTTGGGGAGGGGAGAATGGGGATTCATTGGAGCAGCAAGGCAACACATGGCAATGTCCATAACCTTTGGTAAAGCAGATGGCTGATTGATAAGATATTGCTGTAGTATGACATGCTTCTGCATATATATCTATTGTTAGTAAATAATGTAAAAACCTTTTAAAAACTATTAAAAAAAGACTGTTTGTTACAATGGTGGGATGCTTTTAGCCATGGATTTTTGAAAGCATTTTTGCTGTGTTAAGTGTTGACAGACTGAATGCTGTACGTTTCTCCATTTCTATCTTCTTCAGAAGCAAAAGTGGTAGCTACATTTCTGACTCTTGACGTCTACTTTACAAACTCTTTTCTATGTCACTGTACAGACATCCAAGACCCTGCACCTTATGCAGAGAATGTTTACATTAAAAAAATCTGTTGGCTTTTTCACTGCGCTGCTCACTCCTGTTCTGTTGTATTGTCAGTAGTCTCTGTTAAAGGGGCTGCTTCTCCTTTGCCCTTCGCCAGTTCCCCTGTAATTCTGGCTCCCTCCTGGATGATGACTGCCAGCTCTTGGACAGCTTGTGCTCTCCTGGAGCAGGATGTAGAGCTGTTGGAGAAAGGTGTTTGAGCAGACTTGCTTTGGATGGGGGGGATGAACTCCCTGAGAAGAAATGTGCTTTAAACCCACTGAAGATGTTGGTGGTCTGCCTTGCAAGTGAACTGATCTAGGAAGCCTTGGAGTTATACTTCCCAGCAACCGTGCGTCTGTCTTCTCCCAAAGAAGATGAATGTCGTGCTATTACATCCACAGCTACAAACACTTCTGTTGGTTAATGACTGTATATACAAGTCTGCCTGCTTTAAGACTTTACCTTTCATCAAGTGTTTTTGATTGAGCTGTTCTTCAAATGGCTCTCCTCTTCTGTATTTCATCCGCTTAGATACTCTTGTAGCCATGGGGTGTTGCTCTTGTTCATAGGAGATAGAGCTACAGCTCTCCTTCCAGGGGAGGTCCATGCCACTGAGCCTACAAAAGTCAACTAGTTGGAAAATGAGATGTTTTAACCAGCGGGCTTCTTATATGGACTTGGAGACTTCTAAGAAACGTGTCCACTGGACTCTCCATGAAAACAGATGTTCATGCCCTCCAAGCAGGACAGCTTGTTGGGTATTTATGCTCTTAACTCTGTATTTGTGTATTTACAGACAAAGACCATTTGATCAGAGCCATGGGGCAAATAGAGAGCTTAAAATCCTGACTCCTGCCTTAAAACTGTTTAGTTTATCTCGAGCTCCAAAAATTCTGTACCTGCTTGTTCCCAAGTCCCATTTTTCCTCTAGGAAATTTGAATCCAGTGAATGGCTGGAGACAGTCTAAGGAAATTTAAAACCACATAAATTTTAGCTGATGGCTTATTAAAACAACTAACTGGTCTCTTATTAGAAACCCTATCTGTGCCTCTCAAGTCCAGGGAATGTTGAAAAAGTGGAGGTGGCTTTGGAGCAATGATTGAAATGACTCTTAGCCGGCAACTTGTAATACACTTTCACATGCTCTGAGCAAGAGACTTTGGTTTGTGTCCTCTCTGCCTCATGGTAATGGCTTTCAAAGATGGCTGGTACCATCAAATTTGTACTTCTTGAATAAATATCTTCATTTTTATGGTAAAACCTTTTGTATGCAGCTCGTTTGTGTGTGCCATGCAACAAACATTCCTATTGTGCAGGATATGGTGCTAGATTTGGTACTGACACACAAAATGCACAGCTCCAACACAAGGATGAGTGACATGAATGTTTTGGGCTTTTTTTTTGTTTTGTTTTTTTCCCCTTTTTATAAAGTCTTTTAGAGCCATATATACTGTTGTGTTAAACATGCTTCTTAACTTTTTCCCCCTCCCTGGCTCCTTCAGTCAGTGAAGAACTCTAGGCCAAAATAACGATGCTGTGAATATCAGGTAACTTTTAAAATGCAGTATGTATTTTATGTTGTATCTCTGTTTCTTGGTTGACAGAGCGCAGTAGTGTGTGCACATGTTCTTAATCAGCTGCAATAGCACAAGCAGGTTCTCTTTAGACTGTTAAATTACGTGGTTTCTTTTTCTCTAAGCCAAGGGAAGATCTTCCGCCATTGAGAGCAAACCACCGTGACCTGCTATCAGAAATGCTGTACACAGTGTCCTGTATTTAAGACAAAAAAGAAACTTCTCTTCCCCTGCATTTGAAAAAATAAAAGTACTCCTGGAAATGCCATGCCTTAAAAAATAAAATGCAGTGTTGCTTTTCTTCTTAAAGGTCTTCAGGAGGGTTTTTAATTGTGAGCTGGAGCTCTACAGCCTTTTCATTACCTGTCTGATAGCCCAGAGGCATGTTTTGCAGTGATTTTGGTGTTTGATGATGTTTTAACTCACAATAGATGTGCAGTTTGTGGAGACGTGCCTGGAGATGTGCTCAGATATCCAGCATCAACCTCTGCTGTGCCCAGCATCTGCTGCCTGCAGATGTGCTCCTGGGGACAGTGCAAGATAATGGATCTGTGTCATTCTCCTATAATTACATTAACTGACATTGCCTTTATTCAAGTCACCACTTTTACAGTCTTAATTAACTACCCAAGGTATCTGGAGTAGGAATAATTTTTGTAGGCCTCTTTGGTCTAATGTTAGCTAAACATTTCAATTATTTTCTCTAAATCTAAGCATAATTTCACGTTTAATTTGTGATGTGAGTTACAAAGAAGCCTGTGACTTTCCTGGAACTCTTTTCCTTTTATACAAATATATTTTTAGGTGTATTTTTTACTCCTTTTACACATGTGTGTCTGTAATCTCTTGTGTATCTATGCATATTCACCCTTTTAACATATGTACTATTATATATGTTTTCTAGCTATAAAATAATATATAATTGCATTTATGTGTGGTTTACATATACCCTGTATATGTAAAGTAACAGCACAAGGGCTTATTTGTGGCTATTTGTTCAGACCCGTGAGACCCTGCCTGCCCCAGCATGGACACAGAAGTTGTTGGAGCTGATCTCCTTGGACACCAGGATTGTAAAACTGCATGTGATCCTTCTGTACCCATCCCTTAGCTGAGGGAAGCCTGTTCACTTTCAAGTAGTAAGAAGGATGTCTGTCTCGGTGGTGCATGTGCTTGTACATAGCCACACCACACGAAGCTGTCCTTAGCATGCAGCTGCAGCATGTTTAGGTGTATGAAGTGGGCTGGGCAACTCCAGGCTGACTTGTCCCAAGGGAAACCCCAAAAGGACATGGATTGTAAGTCAAAAGTGCAGAAGAGTTTAAATGTTCTCAATCAGTGCTGTGACAAGCAGTGCAATGAAATGCTGCTTCATACCCTACAGCATACAGCATTAGGGGAGAAGTCTATGTATGCTTTATAGAGCTATGTTACATAGATGACAGTGTTTCTATTCCTAATTAACATATAATTAATGTTTGTGTCATGTTTTATTGACGTGTATCTCACTATATGACATTGCATAACATGCTATGGTGTGCCCCATGGTGGGTGTTGCACCCTCACTTCATGCCCCATGGCAAGTCCTAATTGCTTTCTGTTGCCTAAAGCTGCATCCCATGTGCCTGTCCTGCTTGGTCTGTGCTCATATGGACCAGTGCTGGGTTAATCCCTGGTTCTGGGCTCCAGAGGCAGCACAAAGGGAAATGGTCTTTAACTGTGAACCTGATTTTGCTGCTGCTTATGCTGGGGCAACTGCCCTGAGCAGGGCAAAACCCTAGAGTCACTCTGGACACTGCAGGGAGCATCTGGCTGAAAACTCAGGGTGGCTGGTCCCTCCAAATCCAGGCTAAAAATGCCAAGGTAGCTTATGGAAAAGGCACTGGACTCATCTCATCGCTGCAGAGTGGTTTGTTATGATCTCTCTCTGGATAATCCCAGAAAGTTGGGATTTCAGCCATGCAGTTTATTTTCTCTGGACTCAGAGCAGTGGCAGAGGTGGGATACCACCCTGCAGGCATAGCCAAGCCTCGCTTCATGGGAGGTCAGTGGTGAGCTTGGAGACTGGAATTGTCTATTCTAATTAGTCCCTTATGCTGCAGCCCTGCTGCTGCGTTAGGGAAGCTCTCTAATGGCAGTGAGTTTGGAGGAGGCTCAGTGGTGTGATGCCCTGTGTGTAAGGTGAGAGGGGGAAATAAATTCACTGGATTGCTGTGCCCAGAGGGTAAACAGTCAATATTTAACACGAGAAACTAAACTGCCTCCTGCTTTCCGTCCACATGGACTTAATTAGATGGTTTTGTTAACAAAGCAAAGAGCGTTTCCTGTCACTGGGCTGTTCCTCACCAGCACGGATGCTGGGAGCTGCCTGAGCCCAGAGCATGGGAGCAGAAAGCTGCCAGTGTGAGTGGCTCCAGTCTCCCCCGCTCCAAACCAGCCTTACTTTGTGTGTGTCTTGAGTGTGGCCAAATGGAAGCACCAGGGAGAAAGGCTCTCGCTAAACCTGTGTGTAACACATTGACAGGACGAGGTGGTGTCTAAAGTACCAAGACAACACCTACTGCAGTACATGGGGCAAGATAATGCTCCATCAGGCTTAGTCCTGGGAGAGGTTTGAGGCACAAGGCTGAAGTCCAAGTTGTATCAGTCCTTCACTGGATGTCAGTCTCTGGTGCTCCCCTGGGCAGAAGAGTGGCGATGTGCAATGGAGAAAACAGGCAGTGGCTTACCTGCAGCACTGGAATTTACTCACCTCCCACAGATTCAGTACATCTCTGGCTGGTGGTTGTAAACTGAGCGCAGGGGGGCAGAGAAGCCAGGCTGTGTTGTCCTCTGCTGGCTAAAGGCTTCCTGTTTGCCTGTTAGGAGCTTGCTGTCCTGCTGGGAGGCTCTTTGTGGTCCCCTTCCTCTTGTTGTTGTTTGTCAAGGCAGGAGACTGCAAACATCTTGAATTCCCCGTAGTGCAGTTGCTAGTTTTTGAGAGGAGGTAGATCCTTAGTTCAGCAAGGCAGCCTTGCACAATATAAATCAGAGAAAGACCCTTAAGTCCAGACTCTCATTGCCTTGACTTGGTCTGGTTTCAAACTGGTGAAATTGGTTCCAAGAATTGCCTCCAGCTGATCCCGAGCATGTTACAGGCCGATGGGGCTCCTCCCTGGCATATGGCTGTTCCTCTGCCGTTTGTAATGACTTGCAGTTGTTGGAGTGATTTGGAACAGCTGGAGTTTGGTGTGGATGGGGGAGTAGGAGCTGTCACAGCCATTCTCCTCCTGCAAAACACTGGCCTTTTAATCAGGCAGCCTGGAGATGAAAGGACGGGATCAACGCAACCTGCGGCTGAAACAGCTTATTCCAGGAAACTGCTCTGATGGCACCGGAGAACTGTGCTCAGGATGGAGGCTTTGATACCTCACTGTGCTGCGAAACCACACAGGAAGCAGGCTGCGAGCCCTGCAGGGCTTACAGGAGAGATGCAATCGCCTGAAACAAAGAACTGAAGAGGATGCTGGTGGTGGAACATGGAGGAGAATTTTCAGTAAGAACAATAACCCGGGATCCTATTAGCAGAAAGAAGAGATCTCCCTTGGTTACTAATGGCTGTCTTGCTAAATGTGCTGCTGGAGCATGCTGAAGTCAGGAGGACGGTGTGAAGCTGTGGCAGAGAGGTCTACAGTCTGTTAATGACTGGTCCTCTACCAGTCTCCTCAGACAGAGGAAGGTGCCTGGCTTACCCCCCCAAAAATCATTTATTCCTATTGCTATCTGACTGTTAAAACAGTTTCAATTCAGACTGTGTGGTAAGTTACAAAGACCTGCTCCTGAAGGCAACAGGAAGAAAACTCCAGCTTCAGTGAGAACAGGCTTCAGTGCAAAATGAATCCTAAAGATTAACTTTGAATTTAGGGGCATTTTCATGGTTTGACTGTAATTTCTGTAATTTTACCCCATCTCCAGAAATATCAGAGTCATCAAATACCTTAAGTTCTTCTTTCTGGATAATGAAGAGAAACATTCTGGCTTCAAGCTAGTTAAAATCAGTCCCTTTATCCCCGTGTACATCCAGCAGCTGAAGGGCAGCTCTGGTGGATGAGCTGCTGTTCAGGATGGTTCTCTATTGGGGCAGAAAGGTTTAGAAACAGATGACAAGCAATGACTTCCTGCTTGGCAAGAATACATGGAACACCAGCCGGTGCCTGCGTCCAAAGAATAAAGGTGACCTCCTGCTATTCGTGCCTGCAGGAAATACCAAAATCCTGGTGCTTCCTGAGGCTGAGCCATGCAGGAGCATGTGGCTGCTGCTGGCTTGGTTCAGGCTGTGCTGGGGGGACCTGCTGACAGCCAGCCCAGCTCCAAGGCTGCTTTGAGAGGTCCTTTCCCATCCTTCCCATGTACAGAATGACTTGCAGGGCTACATCCCACACTTGGCTCCTCTCCTTCCCATATCCAAGTGCTGGTTCTCAGCCGGGAGCCTGGTCCAGAGCAGAGCTGCAGGTTGCATCCAAGAGCAAGGTTGTATCCAGGAGCAAGGTTGTACCCTAGGGGTAACCCTGGCTTTACTACCCCACCACCCTTTACCACCTCACCACAGCCTGCTCTCCTCACTGCTCTTACCTGAAAGGGTTCCAGCGTCTCCCAGCCCGAGCTGTATGTGATGCTGGGGAGGATAAAAAAGAGCATCGGCACGCA